TGAGATGTCCCGCCGCCTTCTGAGAAGGCCTTCTCCTTCTCGCTTCCCCCCCTCGCTTGCCGCCGAGCTTTGGGCCACACTTGAGAGTGTCCCTTCGCAAGAGTGACCTGTGGTGCTGGCCCCCAAGGGGTCGGGTACCTTTCCTTTGGGCGTGGCCTCGACCTCGCGTCGGCGCCCGCAGCGTGGGGTTGCTCTCGCATCTGAGCGCGCCAGGGTATACGTGGCGCGCCAGGGTATACGTGGCGCATCTTCTGGCCGCTCGCAATCGACCGCAGAGCATACGCGGCGCATCCTGCAGCGCGCATTGGTTTCCTCATGGGGGGGCCCCGTCGACCGGGCGGAGCGCTTTCCGCCCCAGGACCCGACCCGCATCCCAGCCCGAATCCCAAATCGTCTGGTTTGCATACCTATACGACCACCCTTAGGGTGATAAGCAGGTCCGGGGGGAACGCAGAACGCAGAACGCAGACGCGCGAGTCCGCCGGCCACAGGCATGTGAACTTTAAGAAGTCGCTCTCGAGGTCCGCCCAGAATTTGGAAGTTGTAGCACTCTGAAGTCTGCAACTCCTCCTCCTCCTCCTCCTCCTCCTCCTCCTCCTCCTCCTCCTCCTCGTCCTCTTCCTCCGCCTCCTCCGCCTCCTCCGCCTCCTCCTCTCCTCCTCCTCTCCTCCTCCTCCTCCGCATCCGCCTCAGCCTCCTCCTCGCTCCGACCCCTCCCCCTCCGCCTCCGCCTCCGGCCTCCTCCTCCGCCTCCTCCACTCCTCCGCCTCCTCCTCCTCCTCCTCCTCCTACTCCGCCTCCTCGCCCCTCTCTCCTCCTCCTCCCCCTCCTCCTCATCTTCCTCCTCCTCCTCCTCCCCTCCTCCTCCTCCTCCTCCTCATCTCCTCCTCCTCCTCCTCCGCCTCCTCCTCCTATCCTCCTCCTTCTCCTCCTCCCCCTCCCTCCCCTCCCCCTCCTCATCCTCCTCCTCATCCTCCTCCTCCTCCTCCTCTTCCTTTTTATTGTTTTTACTCCTCAACATCCTCCTCCTCCTCCTCCTCCTCCCCTCCTCCTCCTCCTCCCCGCCTCCGCCTCCCCCTACCCCTCCTCCTCCTCCTCCTCCTCTCTCTCCTCTCCTCCTCCTCCTCCTCCTCCTCCGCCTCTCCTCCTCCTCCTCCTCATCCTCCTCTCTCCTCCTCCTCCTCCTCTCCTCCTCCTCCTCCTCCTCCTCCTCCTCTCCTCCTCTCCTCATCCTCCTCCTCCTCCTCCTCCCCTCCTCCTCCTCTCCTCATCACCCCCTCCCCCTCCCCTCCCCCTCCCCCTCCCCCTCCCCTCCTCCTTCCTCCTCTCCTCCTCCTCCTACTCTCCTCCTCCTCCTCCTACTCCTCCTCCTCTCCCTCTCCTCCTCTATCCTCCTCCTCCTCCTCCTCCTCTCCTCCTCCTCCTCTTCCTCACTCTCCTCCTCCTCCTCCTCCGTCTCCTCCTTCCTCTCCTCTCATCCTCCTCCCCACTCCCCTCCCCCTCCACCCCCCTCCTGCCTCCTCATCTCCTCCTCCTCCTCCTCCTCCTTCCTCCTCCTCCTCCTCCTCCTCCTCCTCCTCCCTTGACCACGTCTCGCGGGCAAGGGGGGGCGCGTCTCGGGACACCACGGTTTCAACCCCGAGCGCCTCCCGGGCCCACCACCTTGACCACGTCTCGCGGCCGGGGGGGGGGGGGGCGCCTCGGGACGCAACGGAAGGAAACCCGAGGAGACAAGAGAGAGAGGGAGACAGAGAGTGGAGACTCGAGCGGGAACCAGGAGAACAAACCAGCTTCCTCGCTTCTCGCTCTGCGCTCGTCTTGAACGCCTCCTGGGGGGCGCCACGGGACACCGCGGCTTCAACCTTGAACGCCACCTGGTCACCCCCCTTGACTGCGTCTCGCGGCCAGGGGGGCGCCTCGGGACACAACGGGGGGATACCCGAGGAGACAAGAAATAGAGAGAGAGAGAGAGACAGAGAGTGGAGACTCGAGCAGAAACCAGGAGAACCAACCAACCTCCTCGCTCCTCGATCTGCGCTCCTCTGGAACGCCTTCAGGGCACCTCCCCTTGACCACGCCTTGCGGCCGGGGGGGCGCCTCGGGACACCGCGGCTTCAACCTTGAACGCCTCCTTGTCACCCCCCCTTGCAATGCGCACTCCTTAGATTAACACCAGATGAAGCCGTCGAGGGCAGAGGACACATTGGGAGAAGACCGAAGATGGTGAGGGCAAGAATGCTGACGGGGCTATTAGGGGGCGGGGACTGGGCGAGGAGAAGAGTGAGCCGCAGGAATGCCGCTGCGGGACTACATGAATTGCTGGCGCCCATGCCGTGTATGAGTGATAATAACGTCAGCGTGGCTCAGTGAAGCTTTAGAAACCTCACGCCACTTTCGCGATGGCAACAGACCGCGCAGCGGGGCTGCTGGCCTGCCTATGCTCGGTACCGCCTGGCGTTCGCCCATGGGCAACTTTATAACCTCTAGGGTGCCAAGAGCGAATCTTCCCGACTTCTCCCTGCCAGGACTGTGTGCTGCCCTCCCGCGTGGCTGGCCTGTGCCCGTGGGACCTGTAGCATCCCATCCTCCTCCTCCAGCCCCCTCCTCCACAATCCTGCCTCCTGAGGTACAGCTCTCAGACTATTGAGCAAGGCGACGAATTCGCACGGAGCGTTCCGGAGCTCCGCTGATCGGCGGCACAGGCCACAGGCCTCTACAATACACAGCCATCGATCGCAAAGAGTTGCATCCATTGGTTGGAAAACAACATCCATGAGTGGAATGCAGATTCATGCAACCGCCTTATGTGATTACGTACTTTCCATTATTGGGATGCGCTGGGATGCGACATCCACGATTGACATACAATTTCCAACTTTATAAATAAAGAGAAGCAACATGCGATCGTGTCATACATGTGTCCCAGTATTTGTCCCGACTTCGGCACTGTACGCTGCTTCCCAGCCAAGGACCCAAGACGCGTTTTGTGAACATGAGGCTATCTCCATAGCGCGGATCTTGACGTTGAAGAACTCCTCAAACTTGTCAAACTCGTAGATTCGGTGCTGTACACGTCCGGAGTCATAGATACCACATTCAAAGCGGCCCCTCCTCCGATTGAAGACGACAGCGAAGAAACGTTGGTCAGTAGAGAGCGGGCCATTGTGCCCGAACAGACCGACACGCAGTAAAAAAAAAGTTCGAATGTGACTAGTATGTGAGCAGTTGCCCGGCACAGAGGCTCCGACTGATGGAGCGGCTGCTTGAGCCAAAATGGCTACGGACGACAGTCTTGGGGCTATCTTGGGCTGTCTTGGGGTTCTCTTGGGGGCCTTTTGGGCCGTCTTGGGGCGATCTTCGGAGCCTCTTGGGCCGTCCTGGGCGCTGTGATGACCTGAAAAGCGAAATGGGGCAATTTTGTCCATCCGGGGCCCTCTTGGGGAGCGGAGCCTTCTTGGGGCGTCTTGGAGTCCTCCTGGAAGCTCCTCGGCCATCTTGAATTATTCGTGTCCCCTGAAGTGTGTTTGTCGGCGATGGACAGAACCTTACTAAAACGCGGTTTAGTGAAAACGTCCTCGGGCCCAAACCTAGCGGGCGCAAGCCTGGAAAATGACGGCCGCGGCGCCCTCTCGAGAACCGAAGACGGACAATTCACCAATTGACGTGTCAGGGTGGGGGTCCTGTCCACCCCCGAGTTTTGGGCGGCCGGGGCGGCCGGGAGCAGGCCCAGGAGGCTCCGGAGGGGGGGGGCCCAAGGAGGGGGGGGAAGCGGGGGGTGCGTGCCTGCCCCGGGGCCGGGGCCCCCGTACTCACATGATGTACTCGGAGATGGCGGGGTGAGCTTGCAGTGGAACGGAGAGCCCCCCACTAGAGGCAAACGGTTTCGGTTTCGTGTTCGGGTCGTGCGTGCGGGCGAAGCGAAGCTGCGTGGGCGGGCGAGAGGAAGGAACCCTAGCATGGCGGGGCGGCGCCATGCCAAAAGACCGCCCCCTCGGGTTGTCCGGCCAACAGATCGCCCCCTCGGGTTGTCGGGCGGTGGCTTCAACTGTATCATCAACAGCAGCCGCATACTTGTCGTCGTGATCACGATCTTCACCACCAATGTGCCATATTGATGCTCGTAATGATCATGCCGTCATCAACGCCATTACCATCGTCCTCGTTATCATCATCCTCACCATGATAATTACTGTAATCGTGTTCAACGTCGTCGTACTCCTCGTCCCCGTCGGAAGGCGCCACCATAGCTGTATCTCATACATGGTCGTCTTCACCTCCCCATTCCCCTTTCATCATCGGCCTGCATGTCCCCCTCGTCCTGCTCCTCCTTCTGCACTTTCACCCCCTCTCCCCTACCACCTTCTCCTCACCCCCTTACCTCCCCCTGGTCTCTTGCCCACCCTTCCGCCTCCTATATTCTCCATCTTCTTCCTTCCTCATCCTCCTCCCTCCCCCCACCCACCCTCCTCCATGCTTCCGCACCCCCTTCGTCATCCTCCTCTTCCTGCCTCCACCTTCCTACCCCTTGCCCTTCACCGTTTCGCCATGATCCCATATCTCTCATATGTCCGCCTACCATACTTCTCATACGTTTAATTATTGCAAAGGGTCTGCCCCCATCCTTCTCTCGTATCCCTCCTCCTCCTCCTCCTCCTCCTCCTCCTCTTCCTCCTCCGTATGTCCCCCCCCCTACTCCTTATTTTCCTCCTTCCACCTGCTCTTCCTCCTTCTGCATCTGCCCCTGTCCTGGACCCCCTGCCCCCTCCTCACCATCCACTTATCATCCTTCTCCCGCTCCGCTACCGACATCGCACCCTCCTTCTATTTCTCCTCGTGTGCGTCTTCCTCGTCCTCCGCCGCGCCTCATCCAACTGTCTTCTCCACCCCACCATCAATTTACAATCATCCATGATGATCTCCAGCAACCCTAACTACCCGTTTACTCATCCGTCCTATCCCGCTTAGTCCCTGCCTGACTGCCGTTGCTCCCGTTGCTCCAC